GGAGGACAGAGATGATAGGTTGGAGCAGTGGCTCTTCTTGAGCGGGGCTGCACGCTGCACCCCCTGGGGGTGCAGTGATGCCCTTGCTGGGGGTGCACGAGACATGGGCAGATTTTTTTCGAAGGTAAATCATCGAAACACAAATTAAGCTCGGGCACGCAAAGTTACAACTTTCTTTGTTTCACCAAACCCTTTGTGTATTTGTTAACGTTGTAATACAAAGTTACGGTTGTGAACCAAAGGGGGGTGCAAGGCTGCAGTAAAGGTTCAGAACCGCTGGATTAGAGGAATTCCCTTTAGTTGTGACACTGTAATTGGTTTATTTCAATTGGGATTTCAATTTGAGCTGATATGTGATGCGCTCCTTTTATTTTTTACTCATGAATCCAGCCTCCCTCCATGAGTCTCTTTGGGGGGAGGGGGTGGGGCTTTAAGCATTTGCTTGGTTCGTTGGGATCCATTGGTTTGCTTGTGCCGAGCGCTGCCAACGCATCTTTAGTCAGGGCGTCACGGTGGCTAGGAGATGTTAACTACCTCGCCCGGTGTGCAGGAGGTCCGTGGGTTCAATTCCGACCCTGACGCCTGCTGCTGTATATTTGGAGTTTGCGTGTCTCTCTCCCTGTGGTCACGTGGATGTTTCTCCAGGTCCTCCAGTTTTGCCCTCCACATTTAGAACCAACATCACGCGTTCAGAATATTTGGCTGCTGTAAATTTCTCACTATCGTCATCATCAAATGGCTAGGAGATGTTAACTACCTCGCCTGGTATGCAGGAGGTCCGTGCGTTCGATCCCGACCATGGCGCCTGTTGCTGTAATATTTGGAGTTTGCGTGTCTCTCTCTCTCTCTCATCATCATCACGGTGGCTGGGAGATGTTAACTACCTCGCTTGGTGTACAGGAGGTCGTGGGTTTGATCCCGACCCTGACGCCTGTGGCTGTAATATTTGGAGTTTGCGTTTCTCTCTCATCATCATCATCACGATGACTCGGAGATGTTGACTACCTCGCCTGATATACAGGAGTTCGTGGGTTCGATCTCGACCATGGCGCCTGCTGCTGTATATTTGGAGTTTGCGGTGTCTCTCTCTCTCTTTTCGTGGTGATCGCGTGGATTTTTCTCCAGCTCCTCCGAATTTTTTCTTCCCTTCCACATTTAGAAACAACATCACCACGCGTTCAGAGCATTTGACTGCTGCTGCTACAAAATTCCCACACAACAACAACGACGACGACGACGACGCTGATAAGCCATTTCGATCAAAGCTATCAATTGTGAATGAATCTAGATTTTAAGTTTTCGTGACTGCAGTCGGCTTTCAACTGTGATCGCCAGGGTGATTCTGAAAACAAACCTACCTCCACTGTACAACTCAGTGGGCGTTATCTGGTAAAATAGAAGCGTCCCATGAAAGCGAATCTCCCTGCCAAGAGAAAGAGCATATTCCCACAACAAGCCACCACCAGACCTTCCGGACGTGGTGGAGTGTTATTTGTGATTTTTTTTCCTCTCTGTCTAATATATATAATTAAATAACTCCCCGCGTCAGCTCAGTAACCCGAGTGGTGACAGATGGCCACGGGGTGGTGGTGGTGGTGGGGGCACGTGTTGTGTAGTGTTGTGTAGTGGTGTGTAGTGGTGTGTATTGTAGTGGTGTGTAGTGTTGTGTAGTGTTGTGTAGTGGTGTGTTGTGTAGTGGTGTGTATTGTAGTGGTGTGTAGTGTTGTGTAGTGGTGTGTTGTGTAGTGGTGTGTATTGTAGTGGTGTGTAGTGTTGTGTAGTGTTGTGTAGTGGTGTGTTGTGTAGTGTTGTGTAGTGGTGTGTTGTGTAGTGTTGTGTAGTGTTGTGTAGTGTTGTGTAGTGGTGTGTAGTGTTGTGTAGTGGTGTGTTGTGTAGTGGTGTGTAGTGGTGTGGTGTGTAGTGTTGTGTAGTGGTGTGTAGTGTTGTGTAGTGGTGTGTAGTGTAGTGGTGTGTAGTGTTGTGTAGTGGTGTGTAGTGTTGTGTAGTGGTGTGTAGTGTTGTGTAGTGTTGTGTAGTGTAGTGGTGTGTAGTGTTGTGTAGTGGTGTGTAGTGTTGTGTAGTGGTGTGTAGTGGTGTGTTGTGTAGTGTTGTGTAGTGTTGTGTAGTGGTGTGTAGTGTTGTGTAGTGGTGTGTAGTGTTGTGTAGTGGTGTGTAGTGTTGTGTTGTGTAGTGTTGTGTAGTGGTGTGTAGTGGTGTGTAGTGGTGTGGTGTGTTGTGTAGTGGTGTGGTGTGTTGTGTAGTGGTGTGGTGTGTTGTGTAGTGTTGTGTTGTGTAGTGGTGTGTAGTGTAGTGTTGTGTAGTGGTGTGGTGTGTAGTGTTGTGTATTGTTGTGTTGGGCAGTGTTGTGTAATGTTGTGTAGTGCTGTGTAGTGTTGTGTAATGTTGTGTAGTGTTGGGTAGTGTTGTGTATTGTTGTGTTGTGTATTGTTGTGTTGTGTATTGTTGTGTTGTGTAGTGTTGTATAGTGTTGTGTAGTGAACGGGCAGAGTTTGCGTGGCCCCCTCCAACATTCTGCACGGGGTTCGTGGCTTTGTGTTGTTGCGTTTTTGTGTTGTGTGTCTCTGTGTGTGTCTGTGTGTGTGTCTGTGTGTGTGTGTCTGTGTGTGTGTGTGAATGTGTCAGTGTGTGTGTATCTGTGTGTGTGTCTGTGTGTGTGTGTCTGTGTGTGTGTGAATGTGTCAGTGTGTGTGTGTATGTGTGTGTGTCTGTGTGTGTGTGTCTGTGTGTGTGTGTGAATGTGTCAGTGTGTGTGTGTCTGTGTGTGTGTCTGTGTGTGTGTCTGTGTGTGTCTGTGTGTGTCTCCGTGTGTGTGTCTGTGTGTGTAAGTGTGTGAATGTGTGTCTGTGTGTGTGTGTCTGTGTGTGTGTGTCTGTGTGTGTGTGTAAGTGTGTGAATGTGTCAGTGTGTGTGGGGAGCGGTAGTGTAGCGGTTAGCGCGCTGCGCTGCCCTATGCACTCGGCGTCCCGAGTTCGATTCCCGCTCACGGCCAACACCGGTGACGATTAAATGATCTGAACCGGTCCTGGGCCTCCCCCTAGGTAGACTCGGCCTAAACACGAGCACCCAGGGGAGACAAAGGCGGCCCCGGGGCGCCATGCCGACGTTAATAGGCGCTCGCAAACAGAACCTTGTCGTCGTAGCGATCGACCTTTGTGCCTTGGAGAGAAGCAACTCGCACGGTGACACTGACAATCGTCTCAGCAGTCAACGTGGAAATGATTAACTACTCCGCTAGCGAATAATAATAACGTCTCTGGCTATAAGGAACGCTTAATCGATTAGCCACATCAATCCGCATGTTGTGGAAAAACAATATTAGCTTTTTTTTATTTACACGCTTTTATTTAACTCACTTTGTCTGTTGTTGTCGTTGTTGTATCCTCAAATCTTGTAACTCAATTTTAACCCACTTCCCAATGTAGCATCGACTGCAAACTTGGTATACTTGTGTCTTACTGATGACAATACTATATTCTATCATAAAAATGTAAAATATATTTTTAAACATTCTTTTGACACACTTTCTATTAACTCACTCTGTTGTTGTTTTCGTTGTTGTTGTATCCTCAAATCTTGTAACTCAATTTTAACCCACTTCCCAATGTGGTATCGACTGCAAACTTGGTATACTTATGGCACACTGATGACAATACTATATTCTATCATAAAAATTAAAAATACATATTTTGAAACATTCTTTCTTAGATGTTATGCGTCGGCTTGGGTCTAATTGTCCACGCTCAACTTACTTTGTGGGCAAGCTTCGGGGCCACTTCCTGGAGTCGTGGAGTTTTGCCATTTAAAAAGTTTGATTTTAATGACTTATTCGTTGTTGTTTGCTGTGTGTGTGTGTGTGAAAATCAGGGAGTTGTGTGTGTGCTAACTTAATCCTGTAGTCGAGTGCTTGAGCCGTGTACTTTACAGAGTGCGTTACGTACAATTACACACAAGTGCTGTCGTGTTGCAGATAACATTGAAAGCCAGCACACAACCTAGCTAGTTGACGTAAGGTGCAGACAGAGAGATCCACAAGGACACTTTCACGGTCTTACACACAAGCACTAAATAAAGGCAAAGATCCCCCGTGTAGCCTTCGCAAGACTTCTGGGCCAAGTGCTGTTTGCGAGCACCTATTAAGAAGGCTGGAACGGCACACACGTGATTGGGGCTAGTGTGGCCACCACTGTTTTAGATGCACCACTCGGCCGCCTTTGTCTTCCCGGCGCTTGTGTTTCACCAGACACGTAGAAAAAAACACAAAGACAAAGATCCCCCGTATAGCCTGTCACATACTGCTGGGGCAAGTGCTGTTATAGCGAGTAAGTAGCACCTATGAAGGCCGGAACGGCACAACAGGGGGTTGGGGTGTCCAGCACCACGCCCGGCCGCCTTTGTCTCCCCAGTGACGATGTTTACACACCGCACCGGGTACTCATTTAAGGCCGAGTCGGCCTAGGGGAGGCCCAGAACCGGCTCAGATAATCGTGAGTTGGAATCGATCCCGGGTCGCCAGGTTCAGTAGCGCAGCGTAGCGCTAACCACTCCACCACCGCTCCCCACGTACAAAGATAAAGATCCCCCGTATATCCTTAACGGACTGCAGGGGCAAGTGCTGTTAGCGAGCACCCACGCACGGAATCGTACGATGCATTTAAGCTGGAGGAATCCGATGATCTGCAAAGCTCTTCATTCACAGACGTACACGCTGTATGTACACCGCTAAACAAGTACACGCAGCAAGGCAGCGTGTGCAGTAACGTGTCTGTGTGTCTGTGTGTGCGTGTGGTCTTTGTGCGATATGTAAACATCGCCACTAGGGAAGACAAAGACGGCCGGGCGTGGTGTTGGCCACCCACCCCCCTAGTGTGCTGTGCTGGCCTTTATAGGTGCTCGCTAACAGCATTTGCCCCTACAGTCTGTTAAGGCTACACGGGGTGTCTTTGTCTTTGTGTGACCGAGTGCTGTGTTGTACATCATACCAGCGCTCGTCATGCTGTCGCTGGCATCAGCAGCACGCTAGCAGTGGAGCTGCAGTTGCTGGGCGGGTGGCTCTCGCCAGAGTTGTCGTCGTCTGAAGATCACGAGACCACCATCGACTTCGCGAGACGCTGCTGCTGCTGCTGCTACCTCCACGGAGAGCTCAGCTCACCCCCCGGGCAAGATCCAAGAAATTAAGATTAAGATCCAATCTTGATCCAGCGCCGTGATTCACGCAACCACCACTATCATCATCATCATCATCTTGATCCAGCACCTTGATCCAGCTGCTTGATTCACACCACCACCATCACCACCTTCATCCAGCACCTTGATCCAGCACCTTGCTTTACACAACCACCACTATCATCATCACCGCCTTGATCCGCAATCTCCACGTTGATTCGGCAACTTCCCAGCCCGATCCGAAACGTAAACCTTGACCCAGCAGATCCTCCTTGATCCAGCAGATCCACCTCGATCCAGTAGATCCTCCTTGACCCAGCAGATCCACCTTGATCCAGCAGATCCACCTCGATCCAGCAGATCCACCTTGATCCAGCAGATCCACCTTGATCCAGCAGATCCACCTTGACCCAGCAGATCCACCTCGATTCGCAGAAGCTACCAAGCCGATCGCAGCAGAAGCTCCAACTCGATCCCCGGCGCCTTCCAGCAGCTGCAGCACAGCAACAAGGACCGGCTGTATGAAGTTGTTCCTTTCTCTCTGCCTCTGTTTCTCTCCGCTTGCTCGCTCTCGCTCTGTACCCTCTCCTCCTCCTCCTCGCTCCTCCTCCCTCTCTCTTTCCCTCGATCGCGCTCGACTCCTGCTCCTCGATCCCGTTTCTCTCTCCGTTCTCTTCGCCTCTACCCCGGCTGCACTCTCTCCTCCTCCTCCTCTCTCACATCCTACAAACTCCTCCTCTCTCTCACATCCTACAAACTGCTTCCCCTCCTCCCTCCTCCTCCTCCTCCCTCTCTACCCTCCCTCTCCCCCCTCTCCCTCTCTCCACCACCTCCGTTTTTTTACGATCAGTGGAAACAAGAAGATGCTCGGTGTAGCCGGCACTTTGCTTCGTTCATCATTTCGTATTTTTTTAAATAACTTTGCTTTATGTAAATAATCCACCTCTCGCTCACTCTCTCTCGTTCTGCTCCACCTCCTCTCACCACCACCTCCTCCTCCTCCTCTCTCACATCCTCCAAACTCCTTCTCCTACCTCCTCCTCATCCCCTCCCCTTCCTCATCTCTCCACCACCACCACCTCCTCTCTCCACCACCACCACCTCCTCCTCTCTCACATCCTCCAAACTCATTCCCCTCTCTCTTTCCCCTCCCTCCTCCTCCCTCTCCCCCCTTCTGCCCCCTCTCCCGAACCGCAAACAAAATCCCATTGGCGCTCACCCTACACCACACACGATACAAAGACAAAGGTTCCCCGTGTAGCCTGAACGGACTTTTGGGGCAAGGGCTTTTAGCGTGCACCTATGAAGGCCGGCACGGCACGCGAGAAGGGGTGGGTGGCCAGCAACCAGGGGCGATGTTTACTACACATCGCACCGGGTACTCATTTGAGGCTGAGTCGACCTACGGGAAACCGGTTCAGATAATCGTCACCTATGTTGGCCGTGAGTGGGAATTGAACTCGGGTCGCCGGGTTCGTAGCGCAGCGTAGCGCTAACCGCTGCACCACCGCTCTCCACACATAGTGACACACACACACAGACTCACACACACAGTGACACACACAGACTCACACACAGTGATACACACACAGACTCACACACACAGTGACACACACACATACTCACACACACAGTGACACACACACAGACTCACAGTGACACACAGACTCACACACACAGTGACACAGTGATATACACACACACAGACTCACAGTGACACACAGACTCACACACACAGTGACACAGTGATATACACACACACAGTGACACACACACAGACTCACACACAGAGTGACACAAACACAGACTCACACACACACAGTGACACACACACAGACTCACACACACACAGTGACACACACACAGTGACACAGTGATATACACACACACAGTGACACACACACAGACTCACACACACAGTGACACACACACAGACTCACACACACAGTGACACACACACAGACTCTTAGTGACACACACACACAGACTCACACACACAGTGATACACACACAGACTCACACACACAGTGATACACACACAGACTCACACACACAGTGACACACACACAGACTCACACACACACAGTGACACACACACAGACTCACACACACAGTGACACACACACAGACTCACACACACAGTGACACACACAGACTCACAGTGACACACAGACTCACACACAGTGATACACACACAGACTCACACAGTGACACACACACAGTGATATACACACACAGTGACACACACACAGACTCACAGTGACACACACAGACTCACACACAGTGATATACACACACAGTGACACACACACAGACTCACACACACAGTGGCACACACTCAGACACACACAGTGATATACACACACAGTGACACACACACAGACTCACACACACAGTGACACACACACAGACTCACACACACAGACTCACACACAGTGATATACACACACACAGTGACACACACACAGACTCACACACACAGTGACACACACTCAGACACACACAGTGATATACACACACAGTGACACACACACAGACTCACACACACAGTGACACACACACAGACTCACACACACGCACTCACACTCGGCCTACAAATCTTAACACCGCCAGTTTACACTCAGGGTTGTGAAAACAGTTGTTTGCATTACCGGTAACCGCATGAAAAACCGGTTTCAAACTATCACCGCTTCAGCACGGCGCGTGTTTATCTTTGAGGAACCAATAGCAAAGCATCTGTCACTGGTTGTGGTTGGTGGTGGTGGTGGTTGGTTGTGGTTGATGGTGGTTGGTGGTGGTGGTTGGTTGTGATTGATGGTTGTGGTTGATGGTGGTTGTGGTTGGTTGATGGTGGTTGGTGGTGATGGTTGGCGTTGGTTGGTGGTGGTGGTGGTTGTGGTTGGTTGTGGTGGTGGTTGGTGGTGGTTGTGGTTGGGTGATGGTGGCTGGTGGTGGTGATTTGTGGTGATTGGTGTGGTTGGTTTGTGGTGGTGGTTTGTGGTAGTGGTTTGTGGTGGTGGTTGTGGTTGGTTGATGGTGGTGGTTGTTGGTGGTGGTTGTGGTTGGTTGATGGTGGTGGTTGTTGGTGGTGGTTGTGGTTGGTTGATGGTGGTGGTTGTTGGTGGTGGTTGTGGTTGGTTGTTGGTGGTGGTTGTGGTTGGTTGTTGGTGGTGGTTGTTGGTTGTGGTTGGTGGTGGTGGTGGAAGGGAGCAGTGTAGTGGTTAGCGCGCCGCACTACGAACCTGGCAACCCGAGTTGGATTCCCGCTCACGACCCACACCACCCCCAGTGTCGATTAACTTGGCATCCGGATCATCGGGACTGTGAACATCGCCACTGGGGAGACAAAGGCGGCCGGGCGTGGTGTTGGCCACCCCACCCCCTCGTGTGCCGTGCCGGCCTTCATAGGTGCTCGCTAACAGCACTTGCCCCAACAATCTGTTCTAAAGCTACACGGGGGATCTTTGTCTTTGGTTGGTGGTGGAACGTTTTAAGCACTTCACAGCAGCCAACGTTCTAAGACTCTCGGAACCGGTAAATAACGGTTACCGGTTATCCTTGAACAACCCCAGGCACACCCCACGTGCGCACGTGTGATGATGGTGATGACGAAGCACGCTGACTGCCACTCACTCGCCCCGTCTCCTTCATAGCTGCTCGCAAACTACGTGCCATATACACACACAGTACACACAGTATACACACACACTACACACACAGTACACACACAGTACACACACACAGTACACACACAGTATATACACAGTACACACACACAGTACACACAGCACACGCACACACACAGTACACACAGTACACACACAGTACACACAGTACACACACAGTACAGACAGTATACACACAGTATATACACACAGTACACACACAGTATATACACACAGTACACACACAGTATATATACACACAGTACACACAGTACACACACACAGTACACACACACACAGTAGACACACAGTACACACACACAGTACACACAGTACACACACAGTACACACACAGCACACGCACACACACAGTACACACACAGTACACACACACAGCACACACACAGTACACACAGTATAAACACACACACAGTACACACAGTATACAAGGGGGCGACAGGGGCTGGTTGATGTCACGTGGCTCTGTGTGTGTTTTGGTTGTTATCGAAGGCAACTGCTGGAAACTTGTTTTTTAAAGATTCCTACCCCGTGTCTGGCAGCGGGAAAGATGATTTTAACCACGCAGCAAATCGGGACTCAGTAGAAAAAAAAACTTCGATTGTTCTAGCTACTTTATCGTCGATAAAAAATATTACAAAGATTCCCCGAATAGCCTCTTGGGGCAAGTGGTGCCAGCGAGCAAAACTTTGTAGGTTGCAAACGGAATGGTGGTGGCGGTGTGGCCAGGACTAACGTTCGGCCGCCTTTGTCTCCCCAGTTCTGAAGTTTGTACACTGGACCGGGTACTGTAGTCATTTAAGGCTGAGTAAACCTAGGGGAGGCCCAGGGGTGGGGGGGGAGAGATGTTCGCTCCCTCGCCCTTGGCGTGCTCGCGTGAATCTTCCTCTGGGTCCTCCCGGTTTTTAAAAAATCCTTTATATTAAGTTCGCTTGCTTGCTTAGGACCGTGCAAATCTTTCGGCCTTTTTTTTAACCCACTTCCCGTGATCCAATCGAGCTGACATTTTGCACACAGACTCGTTGTGCGTGACAATGCATTTTCGTGAAAAAATGTTTTCCAAAATTTTACACTGTTTAGGGAAAATGTTTTAAATATTTAATTACCAATTGTTTAATGCTGCCAGACAATCATCTGACCCATAGGTGGCAGCCATCTCAAGCCAGAGGACGAGAGGACTCTAGCCGCCCCGATGCCACGCATATACAGGATTTAGAGTGAAAAACTTTGTTTTTACGTGTTTACTTTTTCCCCCTTCACATTGAGAATGAACATCCACGCGTTTAGAGGATTTGGCCGCGAGAACATTTCCTACGCGATGCTGACGGTGACGATGATAAGCCACTTCGTTGGGCTATCAATTGTGAGAACCAGGTCGCTTCTAAAAAAATAATGTTTACAAAATACTTTTTTTTTAACACGCTTTAATGGAATTTACTAGTAATGGAAGAACTCCACGACTCTAAGAATTGGCCCCGAAGCTTGCCAAAACATAAGGGACCGTGGTGGTTTACAGCCAACGTCAGTTTACCGTGGACAATTAGAGCCAAGCCGAAACATAACTTAAAAACATGTTTAGAGATATTTATTTTTAATGATAGAATATGGTATTGCCATCGGTATGACATAAGTATACCGAGTTTGCAGTCGATACCACGTTGGGAAGTGGGTCAAAATTTAGTTACAAGATTTGAGGATACAACAACAACGAAAACAACAATAGAGTGAGTTAATATAAAGCGTGTAAAAATAATCTTTAAAAATATATTTTTTTAATTTTTAATGATAGAATATAGTATTGTCATCAGTAAGACACAAGTATACCAAGTTTGCAGTCGATACCACATTGGGAAGTGGGTTAAAATTGAGTTACAAGATTTGAGGATACAACAACAGACAGAGTGAGTTAAATGAAAGTGTGTAATAATAAAAAATTAACCCGTAAAAACAAAGTTTTTCACTCTAAATCCTTTATATGCGTGGCGGCTAGAGTCCTCTCGTCCTCTGGCTTGAGATGGCTGCCACCTATGGGTCAGATGATTGTCTGCCAGCATTAAGCAATTGGTAATTAAATATTTTAAAAAATCCCTAAACAGTGTAACATTTTGAAAAGATTTTTTCACGAAAATGAATTGTCACGCACAACGAGTCTGTGTGCAAAATGTCAGCTCGATTGGATCACGGTAAGTGTGTTAAAAAACGACCGAAAGATTTGCACGGTCGTAAGCAAGCAAGCACGCAAGCAAGCAAGCGAACTTAATACAAGTAAACCCGTAAAAACAAAGTTTGTCACTCTAAATCCTTTATATGCGTGGCGGCTAGAGTTCTCTCGTCCTCTGGCTTGAGATGGCTGCAATCTATGGGTCAGATGATTGTCTGCCAGTATTAAGCAATTGGTAATTAAATATTTAATTTGTTTTCCCTAAACAGTGTAAAATTTTGGGAAAAAAATTTCACGAAAATTAATTGTCACACACAACGAGTCTGTGTGGAAAATGTCAGCTCGATTGGATCACGGGAAGTGGGTTAAATAACGAGCGAAAGATTTGCACGGTCCTAAGCAAGCACGCGAACTTAATATAAAAGATTTAAAAATATATTCGCCTGTGGAGGACGCGGGGATCGATCCCGCGACCTTTGGCATGGGAAGCGAGGGCGCTACCAACTGCGCTACTCCACCACGGCCTGTGGAGGGGTTACGCTCTGGGCTCTTACACTCTGACGTTCAGCCAAAGCCATGAATGCGTTCTATTTGAATATATGTAAAATAAAATTTTTTTGCCTAAAAAGTGTAAAATTTTGGGAATTTTTTTCACGAACAATAATTGTCTGGCACAACGAGTCTGTGTGGAAAATGTCAGCTCGATTGGATCACGGGAAGTGGGTTAAAAAACGACCGAAAGATTTGCACGGTCCTCAGCAAGCAAGCAAGCACGCGAACTTAATATAAAGGATTTAAAAAGAGCTATACGTAACATCTCAGTGGGCAATACTTGGTAAAATATAATTTTTTAAAAATGTTTTTAGTTAAAAATATATATTCGTCACTGATGTTGGCCGTGAGCCGGGTTCACAGAGCGATGCGCTAACCACCGTGGTACCGTGACCCCTGACACAGAAACACAAAGACAAAGATCCCCCCTATAGCCTCTAAGGGGCCGTCCATAAATGACGTCACGCACCTGGGGGGGGGGGGTCAGACATTTGTGACGATGTGTGACGTGGGGGGGGGGGTGTTTGAGAAAGGTGACGTCACATCAAAATGCGCAACTTTAAATAAATATAGACAACACGTTCTGCTTCATTAAATAGACTTTTTAATAAATGTTTTCTCCTACAATATCAGAGAGCAGCGGCACATTAAATACGCACTACAATGACAATAGTTTAAAGCGATTTGAAGCATGTTTTATATTTGGGGGGGCAGAGCTTTGTGACGTCATATTTGAGGGGGGGTCTGACTTTTTGTGACGCCGTATGACGATTGGGGGGGGGGGGGGGGGTAAAAAATCGTCCAAAATCGCGTGACGTCATTTATGGACGGCCCCTCACAAAGGCGAGACGGCACACGAGGGGGTGGGTGAGACCATTTCCACACCCGGCCGCCTTTGTCTCCCCAGTGGTGGTGTCTTTTACACCCAATACTCATTTAAGGCTGAGTCGACCTAGGAGAGGTGATGTCTTTTACACCCAATACGAGGTTACTAATTTAAGGCTGAGTCTACCTAGGCGAGGCACACACATACGAAGACAAAGATCCAACGTAAAGCCCTTTGGACTGTTGGGGCAAACACACACATTCAGTACAGTCCACACATTTCGAAAACACACAGACAAAGATCCCCCGTGTAGCCTACACAGTCTGTAGGGAAGAGGGCTTTTCGCGAGCTATTAGTGAAGGTTGACAAGGCACACGATGTGGGGGTAGGTGGCCAACACCACGCCCGGCCGCCTTTGTCTCCCAAGTGCTGATTGTTTACACACGTCATCAAGTACTCATTTAAGGCCGAGTGGACCTAAGGGAGGTCCAAAACCCGTTAAGATTTTATCGTCAACACGGACACACAAGCTTACGCATTCGCCACTCAGTGTCGGCGACATCAATGCAACGCTTGTGCCAGGCTAGGTGCACAAAATGCAATCTCCACGTGTTATACACCATTACGCAGACTGTAGGGGCAAGTGCTGTGAGCGAGTAGCACCTGTGAAGACAATGGAGTGGGTGGCCAGCACCACGCCCGGCCGCCTTTGTCTCCCCAGTGGCGATGTTTTTACGCACCGTACCAGGTACTCATTTGAGGTTGAGTCGACCTAGGGGAGGCCCAGGACGGGAATCAAACTCGGGTCTCCGGGTTCCGAGAGCACAGCGTAGCGCTACCCACCACTATACTCGGGGCCGTCCATAAATGACGTCACGCGATTTTGGAGGATTTTTGACCCCCCCCCCTTCGTCACACGTCACAAAAAGTCAGACCCCCCCCCGCAAATATGACGTCACAAAGCTCTGCCCCCCCCCTCCAAAACCATATTTCCATTTTGAAAATAAAACATGCTTCAAATCGCTTTAAACCATTGTCATTGTAGTGCGTATTTAATGTGGCGCTGCACTCTGATGTTGTAGGAGTGTTGTTATAGCAATTAGTGTTGTTATAACAATTCTATATATTTATTTAAAGTTGCGCATTTTGATGTGACGTCACATTTCTCAAACCCCCCCGCCTCGTCACACATCGTCACAAATATCTGACCCCCCCCCCACCAACCACTACCAACTACCACCATCAACCA